AATACATCGCAATCACCCGCATCAGAATCGGACATTCCTTTCTCACACACTAATCAGCAAAGAGCCCCAACCAAGATGCGACACATGCAACCAAATACAATAACCACCATCAAGGCATCAAACATATATAGGGGAGGAATGCATGCTGTACACCTCAACAGGCACTGACCTGAACATAGGTACCACCTAACGTTGCAGAAGCACTCGACGAACATTAAACCTCAAAAATCATAGCATTTTTAAATATTATTAAGAAACTGTAAATCAAAATACTAAATGTAAAGTCATAATAATTATCTCATAAATGTAATATCTAATTTTAAGAAACGTCTATGTAAAACATTGATAGGCTATTAACCTTCTCTGTTGAAGCCTTTATCCTTTAAATAAAAAATAATACTCAAGTGTTTGTCGTGGTAATGTGTGTTTAGTGGCCAATCAGCAGAACGTAAAGGGTGTAGTAAAAAGGTCTTATACGGTCACTGCCTGAAAACGACCAAAATGCATGTAAGTCTGATTGCCCACCCGAATCACTACAGACGCTTTCAAAGTTTTTTGGTAGACAAACTGAATAAAAGTACTCCGTATGCGATATGGTTAGGTGCAAAGTGAATAATTATGAATATGAGATTAGAAACGTTTAGGAGACGTAATAATTATTAAAAAAGATCGATTTTATATTTATAATTAATTAAAAACTTAGTATATATGATCTTTTGTAAAATAATAAATTACTACAATAATTACTAAAAAAGATCATAAATACTCAATTACTGGTTTTTGTACTTAACATGAAATACCAGTCGATGCTAGATGGCACTTACATTTAAGTTTTGATTGTCACTCTTCTTATTATTATTAAATTCTTACGAGTATAAATGTATAATATTATAGGCAATCTTTGTCATACATCGATGTGCAAATTAAATGCATATTAAATAGTGGTCAATATACCGCGTTTAGCACGTATGATATTATAAACAACAATAGGCAATACAAATTAATCTAAATATTTTTAAGAATGCATTGTGTATATTGTAAAATAAAATAATCTACGTAATAGTTCCCACGTAAAAGTCCCCAGGAATGGTATCCATTTTTCAACTACATAAAAAAAACTAAAATCGTTATTCTTTGTTTAAATATATCGTTTTCTTTGTCTAAATTTAATTTCTACTTGATATAAAAAATGTATGTATTTTTAAACATTTCGAATTGCAATAAGAATAGTAAATTCGTGTTGTACTTATTGCATTAAATTTCCTTAGTTTTTGACCAACCCTAAACATCTTTATCTGCAATATTAAATAAAAAACATGAAGAATCCAAAATTTTCAATTGTCTATAAATTGCTTAATAGTAGTCTAAATATATTTAAAATTTCATAAAAAATGTATGACGTAACAGTGGAATGTTTCAAATTATTACAGCTAAAGCTTTTAAAATTATACTAAAAATTAGAATCTTTTAATAAAAAAATCGAATTTGAATCGTATAAATATCCAAATTTGTCAAATAAAAACTTCAGATGCTTATGAAAAATATTCGTGATTGTACACTCAACTTTAATTGTTATATTTATATATGTACATTGTTCAAACAAAAATATAAAATTATATATTTTTTTTGACCGAATACGTTACCGCAGCACCCACACCAGTTTCGACATGGATAAAATCATCATTTTCAATTGTCTATAAGTTATAACCATAGGTAACTGATAAATAAAAAAAAAATTTCAAAAATAATATCGTGAAAATTTTAGTCGGGATAAACATTTGGTATACATTTCAAATACTCGAGGCTCTTCGTTTTTGAGTTATAATAAAATAAGTACCAAAATGTGTTTTGTTTAATACTGGTTTGATGTAGGTAGTAATTTCCGGTTTCCCCGATTTTTTTTATTTGTTTTAGCCAATTATTAAGTACTATAGAACATTTTTATTCTGATGGTCCGGAGAACTCACGTGGGTGATACTTACCGCCGAACACCCCAAGTGCGCTTTCGCGTAGGTACTTATTATATATATATGTGTAATAGATTCTATTGATGTAATAGATGTGGTTTATTATGTAATGTATACCCGCGCAACTGTAGTTGCCGCTAAATTGTATATATATATATATATATGTATGTATACCCGCGCCACTGTAGTTGCGGCTAAATTAATTTATAGAATTTTTAAAAAATAATGATATTTTGTGATATTAATGACGCGTGCCCGAATGGTGGCACGTGTCAAAAATAGAATTTTATAAAAATAAAATAGTTTAAATTTTTTGTAATTTTAACTGATTTGTTTAGATTATTTGTAATTTTAACAGATTTGTTTAGATTTTTTGTAATTTTTAACAGGAAAATATAAGGTTGGTTTTTTTTAAATGTTTTTTCAATGTTATTTTAGATGTTTTTTATGCTATTTATTGTGTTTTTTTTATGTTTTTTTATGTTGCTTATGTTTTTTTTAATGTTTATTATTCATTTTTTAAAGATTTTTTAAGGTGTTTTTTTTTGTAATATAAAAAGTGTGTTATACGTACCCCCTTACTACTTACTATGTAAAACGTTATCATTATTTAAATATATTTTCGTGATGACAATACTTTCTTATTATCGTCATTGCGACTAGGCCGTTCAATATAAATGATACCTACTAACATTGCCGATATCGTAACCACTAGAAAAGAAGTTCAAATATTTGTGGGCCGAAAAAAAAATCTCCAATTAAATATATTTTTTAATACTATTCGTACTTTATTGAAAACACGACGATGCGTAAGTAATGCGGGAGGGGATGTGAAACCCGTATCGTCGATTTGCGTTTGCGACCTCTATTTTTTACCACAATAATCTGTACTCACAATTTACACACTGGGGTCTTGACATATTTTTTTATCGAAAGCTAGTAATTTTCGTAGTTTGTACGAGTAAGTGCTGCACTCGATTATTATAATATTTTATGATAGTTTACTGGATACGGACGAAGCACTCGACTGACTGGCCGTTTACGATTAGATATAATCAATACAAATTCTGACAACATTTTTATATTTTTTAAAGCATTCTGCCAACGTCTATAGCCGAAAATTTCATTTGCCCCGATATTCATCAACCAAAAACGTGTTCAAATTTCAACTCTAACCTGTCTTCAATTATAAGTATCCGGCCACTATAAGTATATTTATCACAATATAACAATATAATACAATATCCGTCTTGATATCTGCGTCTAGTCGTGTGTGGGTGTGGGTTTTTGCTGTAGTTTACTTATGTGTGGGTCTAATAATAATATTACATTAATTAGTCCCTCGAATTACGTGACTCGTATAAACGATACCTAACCCATAAAAATTTTTTTGAAATAAAAACGTATCAACCCGTTTATTACGATGGCTAGATAGTTTTACAACCTAGCTCGAACTTCCCTCTTTAATCCATGTGAGATGTCATATTTTTGTTTTTTTTTTTTATATATACTAAAACGTTGCATAAAAATAATTATCGTGCTCCCCTCCACCCTAGCTGCACAAGTAAGACTCTCCATGTATGTTATACTCAACTCACATAATATTATGACGCGTTATTGTTTTGTTCATGAAATCGTCTATCGTCTATGATCAAAAATGACGACGACGAGGGAAAAAAAGATAAATATAATAATAAAATCTCGAGTAAAAAACACGAAAAAAAAATCAAACAACACACACACATCGTAAATTGTACGAAAAATCATTGCGTTGGTATTGTAACGAGCTGTGACTACGTATATATTAATAATAGTAATAATAGATTATATTATATTTTATTAGGTAAGATACGATTATAATATATATATTATACTCAATAATAGACATAAATACTGCAGGGAGCACGTAACCCCGGTAATAGTAATAATATCAGCATCCGAGCGGCCACATCGATAAGAACTAATTAATGGTACAGCGCGAACACGTGATAGGTATAAGCGCGCAATATCTATATTCTAGGAAAGACGAAAAAACCCGTAAACAGTACAAACTGATAACTTTGGAAACATATAATCCGTAATCAACATTATTTCGTAAAAGATGACAGAAATGACCTCAGGCGGGTGCGGCGCGTGTACCATTTTATACTAAAAATGCCATAGGAGGGATCTATTAGGAATACCGATGAAATACGTCGACAGACAAGTGTCCATCAGACGAACACCAGCCGAGCAGACGAACACAAGCCGAGCAGACGAGCACCAGCAGAGCAGCCACCAAGTCGATACTAAGTCGCATCTCGTTTACCACATTATTATAAATTAATTATTTGGACTTAGACTATTTTACGTGTTAAATAAATTACAAATAAACTAACGTTATACCATCATCTTGTTATTTTATTCAAAATACAATCAATACTGAGTTGAAGTGGCTGGCACGTTACAATTTTTGCGCTGTGGACAGGGTTCTCAAAAGGATACTTAGAAGAAACCGGAGGAACAATTAAAACAATTTTTCGAAATTTTCGGAAAATTTTTGAAAATTTTTGATTTTCTAAATTCAATCAAGGAGGAAAATTCATCACTGGATCACCGTTGGGAGATTGATCACCTTCCAGCAACTCCGAGAAAGAATCCTGTACAACTACGTAACACCCAACTACAATCAATATTTCAACCGAGCAAATGGAAGCACCAGCTGTACCAGCTGCGTTGTTTTAAGTATCAGATTATCGAATTCAATTGTGTTGCTTATTATAATAATTTGAGTATTTTGAGGATTTTTTTTTCAATTTATTTAGATAAAATATTCACCGTTTGCTTTAGCTAATTTTGCTTATACCATTCACGCCATTTGCGTTTGGTGATATTTTATGTTCGCTTTAGAACTCCCTATCAAATTTTCTTTACCTTTAATTGAAGTATTCGCCGTTTGCTTAAGCTAACTACTGGTGTTACTTTATTTTTGGTTTTAGAATTTATACTTTATTTGATTTGTTGAGGGAAGAAGCAAAATTATTCTCTTTGAAAATGGAATTTTACCGCTTGTTATTTTGTTGTGTATCTTTATATTCTGTTTGTCTTATAACTGAAATTTCATCTCAACTTTCATTATTTTCAACCTCTCACTCATCTATTGCTCTTTCTGCACAATCTTATTATGAAGTTGGATCAGGTGTAAACAAAATTTTTTGTCCTAATATAATTATTAATTATGATACATCTGGTCATATATATTATTTTTCTATAAAAAATTATGAAATTAGAATTTCTCTTTCCGAACGACCTATTGAATGCCGGGATTTCATGTCTTACTTTGAATACACCATAAATAATAATTTAGTTACCTATTCTGGTTTTGGAAAACATTTTGAATTGCAATTTTATCCTCCACTCAATAACTTCGTCAATTTTACGCATCAAAACTTTAATGTTACTTTGCGTGATTTTGATTCTCGTTATTCAGAATCGATTATTCTTGTGTTAATTTACTCTACTAAAGATGTAAGGACTAAAAGATATTCTGTTATTGAGTTTTCATCTAAATCATCTATTTCATCTCTTACTAAAGTGATTACCTATGGTAAAGCCTCTTTAAATTACATTGTTAGGCAGTTTGAGAAACTGTATGACTCAATTTCATCGGGTATTAAAAGTGCCATACATAATTATCAGGACTTTAAATTGTACGGGAATATTCTCACTAATTTTAGTGATTTTAGAGTGGGGGATGTTTTTGCTTGTAAGCTTTTGTCTATGCCTTCTTTAATTAATCCATTTTTTCATTTTATGATTGTTGTTGAATCTGCACATCTCCCTGACAACGCTATTAGTTTTGGTATGTTCGATAACCAGTATGGAAAGGCTGGGTACGTTAACATAACTACTGAACTTCAAACTTACACTAATAACTCACGTAGATGTATTATGTTGAGACCACATATTAATTATTATACTAGTTATGTATCTAAAGTCAATGAAGCTCTTGAAACTGGTGATTTATCTGTTGTTAAGGACTATGCTTATTTATCTAGTCGTTATTCATCTTGGTATGACAATTTTAAGGAAAGAGTCAAACTTATCACCGACACTGTTGATTTTCATTATTCTGCTATACATTGCAATTGTCAAACTATTGTCGATTATATTGCATTTGGGACGATCTTAGATAATAGTCTGTGTACTAGTGTTCGCGGTAATCAAGTTATTGCCGCCAACTCTTGTAACTGGAAATTATACAACAAAATTATTTCTGTTTTTCTGGCTAATTATGAAAATAAATCATTTGTCATGTACCTTGATTCGCCTGGAGTTTGGAGCTTTAATTGTGAGAAGTTACCGACTTATTTATCTAATGCATTTAAAAGTATACAAAATACTTAGATTGTGTGCATTTCTTTATTGTGTGTGTTTTCTTTGCGTCTTTCACACGCTCTTAATTGTATGACGCTATAGGCCGTATTTATCACATAACCTAAATATTTTTTTAAATTTTTTTTTTTATTACATTAAACTTTATTTTATTTAAATAGAAATTATATATAACATGTAACTTAACATGAAAAATATTATTGTATTCAATACTATAGTAATATAGTATGTTATTGTATTAATTATTAAGGTAGTATAGTTTTAACCAAAAATTTAATTATTATGTTATTATGTTTAAAAATCAGATGAAAAACATATTATATATTGTTATGTAAATGAAACTGTTATGTTACGAAAACAAAAATATTGTTATACAAAAATATTGTTATGTTATGAAAAACAAAATATCGTTATGTTACGAAAACAAAATATTGTTATAAAAAGAAAATATATATTGTTATGTTATGTGATAAAAAAAAATTATATATCGTAAAAAAAAAAAAGAAATTATGTAAAATTAAATCATTATGTCATGAAAAGAAATTATGTAAAATTGTCGTTATGACAATTATTAACAATTTATATATATTGATATTGTAAAATGATGTACTATGTATTTATGTTCATGTTTTATGTAAATTTTCTTTAAAGATTTTTGTAGTTTTTATTGTAGCCCTACAAAAACCTTTGAAAGTGCGATGAGGTGTAACGAGCTGTGACTACGTATATATTAATAATAGTAATAATATATTATATTATATTTTATTAGGTAAAATACGATTATAATATATATATATTATACTCAATAATAGACATAAATACTGCAGGGAGCACGTAACCCCGGTAATAGTAATAATATCAGCATCCGAGCGGCCACATCGATAAGAACTAATTAATGGTGCAGCGCGAACACGTGATAGGTATAAGCGCGCAATATCTATATTCTAGGACAGACGAAAAAACCCGTAAACAGTACAAACTGATAACTTTGGAAACATATAATCCGTAATCAACATTATTTCGTAAAAGATGACAGAAATGACCTCAGGCGGGTGCGGCGCGTGTACCATTTTATACTAAAAATGCCATAGGAGGGATCTATTAGGAATACCGACGAAATACGTCGACAGACAAGTGTCCATCAGACGAACACCACCTATAATACATTTCTAATCAGTGTTATAAAATAATAATAATACAAAAACCAATAAAATTAAGTCCAAATATGTAGGAATAAAATAAATAATAATAATAAACAAAATAACATATTTTGCATTTTTTATTTGTGCAACTCCAACGCTCGACATCATTGGCCAACATTTTGTGAAAACGATACTTAAACTTATCAATAACTTTGATTTCTTTATTTTTTTCCCTTATACTTTCAGTAATATTTTGAGTCTTCATTTTGAATTTTCAATATAAACAATAAACTTTAAAGTAGGTATCTCTCGACTCTAAGGCACTTGTCGTACTAAATCGCAACGTGTTCGTAAATCAATAAGAGTATACCAGCCTTAAGATTTAAATGTTACCTATTATACCTAATTACTATACAATAGGACGCAATCGGAACACGGAAAAGGTGGGCAAAAAATCGTTTACCTGCGCCTGGGACGCAATTGACAAACTCCGATTAAGTATTTAACTTCTTTCGGGCGCGGTGCAAAGAGCAAATGTATTAGGTAGGTAGGTATAATATCTCGTGTCGGCTTTGCGTACAATAATATAATACACCCGTATATATTATTATTATTTTTAATATTCATATAGTGTCATGAAACCAATTTGCACCCTCTCTCCATCCGTAATACGACCCTGCACAAACCCTGCTACAGCGATCGTCCTGTGATACACCAGCTACTTATACAGTTATACTACCTGCACGACTGACTTTCGCAGGTAAGTTATTACACTGCAGCATATCGCATTACTACAGTACTAAGTGCCGTTATTAAAGTCCACATCCGAAGGAATAACACACGAATTGGTGCTCCCCAATCAGTATAATATGTTCTACTTACCTCTGTCAAATTACGTCATCGCCTTATCTCGGCTATGGAGAGAATGCTGAGTTGTGGGGGGGAATTTCCATCACTTCCGGTCCCTTGGCCGATATGACGTCCGCCGATCCGTCATGTCGTACTATGTACCTCCGACGCCCGTGCAACGCTTCTCCGACCTCTTCCGTTCCTCCTTCGGACTCATCGGCAAGTGATTGAGCGTCGCCACCCGAAAGAGATTCGTATTTCGTATATCTATCAGGGTATAGTGCGTCGTCTACAAGTCCAAAATATCGTCTATCGCCGTGTCTTCGTTATTGTATCTTCGTCGATACTTGCAGTTTTTCTTGAATTTGATCAGATTAATAATATTACCGCTGCTGTGATCCGACTTTCGATAACTACTTTCACGGTAGTTTGCATTTCTTCGCCCGACTCGTTGTGTGACGCAGCCATTGTGTTTCATTTGTACAGCGCGTGTATTATGACTTTGACGTTAGGAGTCACAATTTGAAAATTTACTGATTTTGAATTTTGTCTTAGGCCGTCGGCGTAAACAATAATATTCAAATATCTCCCAGACGACGGCGGGCAGGTACAGCGCCGTTTATTACTTCATACTTGCCATCGAGTATATATTATAACCGTATCTTCGCATATTGTATTATTATTCTATAATATGCCAGCATCAGGATTTCGTTCAATTTTCCAAAGACCATTATATTATTATTAGTATTAATATTATTATAGGTACGCATGTAGTACGCTAGTATAGTATTCAGTGGTGGTTATACATGTTGTTCAAGGGGGGGGGGGAAATAAAACCAACCCTCCCCCACTCCATGACACTTTTATGTATATAGTACATTATAAATAAATAATATAAAATATACACACGGATTATAGGTATAAAATATAAATGTATAATAATGTTTATATATTAAAAATATTAAGTTATTAAGACACTTTAACATTAATGTTTTAAAAAAAAAAAGATATAAATGTAGGTATTGACTTATAAAATATAATTATAATAAAAGCATGTGCCTTTTTTATTGCTTAGCAAACCGTATAATAATATTATCTATGTTAACATTAATGAATGTCTCTATGGATAAGAAACAGTGCTATAGTGATGATCAAAACAACACCAAGACTTTCAAAATCTTGGCCTTGGTCTTGGGTATACACCTTAATATTGGTATTGGTCTCGGTCTTGCAGACTCAGTCTTGGTCTTGCAGGTCTTGGTCTAGCGCAAGACTCTTGCAATACCCTTGATATTTTCACAAAATATGTAAGAAAAAAACTAAACACCTGTTATAGCTGTGTGTAGGTTTTTTGCTATGAACCCTATGATGAAACTTGTTGATTTTGGGAAAATAAAATAATTTTTCAGTTATTGCTAATCAGTATGAAACAACTATGTTATTTTATAATATTAATTCCAATTATTTCTAATTTTTTTTTCAATAATTTTCCATTTCCTTGAATACTGATCAAATTTAATAACAAAACAAATATAATTATTTCTTATTATTTTCGTTATAAATTATTAGTTAATGAAATTTAGATACACTTATGTGTTTTCGAGAAAAAAAAAATTTGCGAGTCTGCAATTAGAGTCTTGCAGTGATGGTCTTGTTTTGGTCTTGGTCTTCCAGCAAGAGTCTTGAAAGACCGCAAGACCAAGACCAATTTTGATCATCATTAAGCAGTGCTAGCCCAAATTAATCGGTCTTCACCAATTGTTGACCTCAACCATGTCTTTAATATAAATAAATTAAGCAAATCACATGCATAGTAGTAATACATAACATTGAAACATTTTAAATAAAAAAATATTAACCAGTTACGTTGAGCGTGCGTGACCGAGACATAGAATATGATTATATATATTATCCGTGGTTAAAACGAAAAAAATATTTGTACTTATAATTTATTTATATATAAATTATAATCATATCATTAAACTCATTTTATACCTATACCTATTTATACCTGTGGTGAAATCTTTTAGACTTTTAGCAGAATGAAAATTTGGCCGTGAGTGTCCGGTACTACATAATACAATAAAGAATATTGGATGACGTGCAATATACCTAGGTAAGTGAATATCTAAGTACATAACTGATTCGATACTAAACACTGCCAGAGCCTGCATTAAACCGTTATTACGTCATTTTTTTGTTATAAATATTGTAAGCTGACAACTTTTGTAGCTCAGTAGCTACGAAGAGATTCAAAAGAAGATTTTTAAAAAACCGCGATTCGTGCCTACAAGAACGATGTGTATTGTTCCTTCGTATAATCTCATTAGTCATTATGGTAGGTATGACTATTATACCCTTTTTCGTAATTCATGCTGAATTTTATTTCATTTTCGTGCGATCGACGCAACCACAGCTAGTATATGATTATTATGGCCAGTAATAACAAAATATTAATTGATGAAGTCGCGTCTAACATTTAAGATGTTAATCCAAATGTAACGTGTGAGAGTGTACTTAAGAGGACGCCATATCAGCATGCGTTGTCTCCGTCTTACAAATGTACAACATAGCAAAAAACTGTTTTGAGCGGGATAGAACCACTCCCTCGGTATTTATAGTAGAATTACCAAAATTAGAGATAGCATTTACCAATAATGTTTAATAATTAAATGAAAAAAAAACAAAAAAAAATCCGAATGTTCTCAAACTGAAATAAAAGAAATAATAGAACTCTACGTGTCCCTATGGGTTGTGGAATAATGGTAATTCTATTATAAATACGGTGGGAGTGGTTCTATCCCTCGCCAAACAGTTTTTTGCTATGTTGTAAATTTGTTAGACGGAGACAACGCATGCGGGTATAGCGTCCTCTTAAATATATTATTTATCTTGGCGTTGTTGAGTTTTTAACGCATATGCAAAATGTTCGCATAAGTCCCTTTTTAAAAGTCCCTTATTAGGTATATATAATAAAATAAAATAAAATACTAAAACATTATGCTTTAATTTTTGATTAAC